AATGGAACGGAAATCACGATGATTGTGTCAATAAACAGTGAGATAGCTGAACTCTTTGAAGGCGTCTTTACACTAYTTTGCAAAGTTCCTGGAACAACCGATTTCAACCAATAGTGCTCAAACTTTGCACACTTGTTGGCATATAACACGTCAAAAAAAGGTGTCTCATTTTTTGTATACCTTGTCGCATTCTGAAGTTATAGCAAGATTTACAAAAAACGCCAAAAATTACATCTTTCAACTTTAAAAGCTGATATTTCTGCAACAAATGCATTAATAAAAAAATGAGAAAGGTTATTATAGATCAAACTGAGCTCTAAAGGAAGGTGGTAACAGTTTATAATTAGCACAATGATATCCAGTGTTCCTGGTACTTCTTAAAAATGAGCTGTCAAAAATAATAGAATACCCAATAAAAGAAAAATGATGTGCTCTTATCAAAACCAAGTTCATAGTTACAACCTCCATTTATGCAGCTTTAGAATATATGTATATACTTTTACTGAGGTATCTTTATTAGTTAGCATGCTACGACAAGTGAATTGACACCTGTCGAGAAAGTCCCCTGATACCTTAAGAAAAAACTATAAAAATGCCCTGATAACAGATTGTTCTTCTRCCTTCAGGGAAAATGGAAATATATAAATTTTCTTCCAGTCTCTTGCAGTAAAATACTTACAGTATCCATATTATAGGCAAAGTCACCTGAAATAACACAATGGTTGGTGATAAATTGCAATATCAATGTTGTAGTTCAGGTTCAATATGATTTTGAATCAGTTCAATTTCTTCTGAACTGGTTCAGTTTATTTTAAGCCAGTCCAATATAACTCAATCCAGTACAAATCAGTTTAGGGTTAGGTTTAGAGTTAGGTTTAGGATTAGGTTTAGGGTTGGGAATAGGGTTGAGCCAGCATTATATAAACATTTTCTTCATTCATAAATTGCAATTAAGATAAAAACAATTTGCAAACATTACTACCAACAAAATCCTTGATGGTATAATTGGTAGTACTGTGGACTATCAAGCAAGAGTTCAGTGGTTCAAACCCTGATGAAGGCTTATTCATAAATTAAAAATATAGAAAATATCAATATTTCTGTGGGGTATTGGGTAAGATAAAGTAGGAAATAGTAGAAGGTAGAAAATAAGATGATAGATAGAAAATGGGAGAGAATGAGATGGGATATAGTTCTTTTAAGAATGCCAAAGAAAAAAGAAAAAAGACCAGTACAAGAAGTCTTGTACTGGAACAAATTAGATTAAACTGGTTCAAAAATATATTGAACCTGAACTGCAACATCAACAGTAATCAGTAGCAACAATAAAAACCTACATTGAAACTAAATTTAATAAAATGTACTTGTTAATAAAGGTCATCGAGAGAAATGATTCATAGTTTTACTTGTAACAATGGACTCTATGAGTTAGATAACATCAAACTGTCCAGTCTTGATGAGAATCAGTTTATCATAACAGAAGCTGCATGAAGGATAACACTCACCAACATGAAGAATGGCATCAAAATGTCCTTGTTGTGTTTCTTCTTGAAGGAATGGCACTGATCTGGCATTTTTGTTCCCCATATCACCAAACAATGCCAGTCGAGGACTCCAATTAGCACCAGCTGGTCTGACAGTGAAGGAAAAGACTGGACTCCAACCACCTGACCCTCCACAGTGATAGTCTACAACATGAACATGTAAAAAAGATTATTACTAATTATTACTACCTCTAATCAAAGATGTATTTCTCACTACATCCACTTGAAAGGCTTCTAGAAGAATCAGCCCGATTCCTTGCTCATGCTACATATATAATACAATAAAAAATTTGAATATCTATCATGATGTTGACATATTTTATACCATGCCCTTTTAAAAAGTAAAAGTAAATTTGTCTGGGAGTTCACTTCATAATGTTCATTTATACATATGGAAAACAATGGTTTCCTATCTATATAATACTAATTGCACAATCAGATTTTTTTACACAATAATTCCTTACCATATGATTGTTGTGGAACCAGGTCTGTTAGTTTCACCCTGTGCATATACATAGTACGATGAGCTGAAGACCCCTCAACAAACTTATCTACACTTCCTGTTGCCTTCAAGACTAGTGGTCCACCCTTCTTGTTGTATTCAACAATAGAGTCTGTAGTAAGGTCCATGGTTACCCAGGTAACAACCATTTCTGTTACATTATCTACAATGTAATAAACACATCTCTTTTTTAGCACAATAATAATGTGAATATTACATTAATTCTTCAAAGAGGGAAATAATAATTTGACGCCACAAAAAAGAATTGAAAAAAAGATATAAATAAAGGATCAATAATAAAGAGAAAGAATGTATATAAACAAAATTAGAGAAGAGATTGAAAGAGAAAGACGAAGATTTTCACATCAATTAGAATGTGCGTGATGGCGCTCTTGGTGCGTCTTATTTGTTGTCATTTATAGTGGGCTCCCTGTGCCGAGGACGCTATCGTGTTATGTCATACGCAGTTGTCCGAGCAAGTTTTATCGTCGCTTTGCCTCCAAATTTAAATTATTCTAATCATTATTCAATGAAGAAATGTAGATGTTTAGAAAAAGAAACAGCTGAATAGCTCGTTAACTCAAAGCACACGTATATTTTTTTCGCATAGCTATCTTGACGTAAGTAAGTTAAAGTCGTTTACGTGCGAAACAGCATGTAAGTAATTCCTCAACTCTCGAAGTACAGTAAACAAAACCTCTGAACTACAATAAACGACATAATGTTCTCCCAAAGGCTATTTTACAAATTTAGTGAGACTAAACGAAAAAAGAGAAACGAAGTTAAGTTTAAAACTACTTGAGATAAGTCTTATAACTTTAAACAAAGCGCCTGTCTACCAAATTATATTACATGATCAAAGAAATTCTTCATAGATCACAAAATAAAGCTTATTTGACTTACTTGTCATTGATAGATGTACTTGTTCTGGTTGCTGACTTGTTTGAGCCGAACTATATCCAAACAGAATGAAAATAACGCTAAAAAGTCCCCAAAACAACTCCATGACGACTCTCATTACTTTCTCTACGGCAAACTCTACCTGAACTCCTGAAAATCACGTGAATGTGTGACTTTTTACCACAGGGAAACCAACACATGACTTTGTGGCATTTGGGCACTTGCAGCTTCAAGACGGGTGCATTATCAGTACAAATAGCGGGGAGGGGGGATCTGGTGGTTTTTGAAAGCATGTTCCCCTGTAGTTGGTGATACATTTTTTTCAATGACCCATCCCCTTCACCATCACCATCATCTTATTGATACAACTCCAAACTCTCTTACTCAATATGTAGTATTGAATATAYAAGTATTTTCTTATGCCCTCCCCCTTTTTACATTATTTTTGTTTGGGTGCCCCCCTCTCCCGATAAAAAGTGAAAGGTCCCTACATTGTAATATATGTCTTTGCTCTATAATCCAGTCAATTTCAAAATATTTTCAAACAGAAGTGATTTTAATCAATATAGAGGCAAATATATGACAAAAAACATTTATTTAGAAATAGCAGAGCTAACAGATTAAATTAACAATGTGGAAATTTAATATTTCTCTGTACGTAGGAGTCATATTCTAAACACTGCTTCGTCTACGTTTGTATATGTTTTATTTTCCAAGCTTTCGGTTCGCTAGTTAATTCATTTGTATCACTAGTCCCTGATGATGGATCGAACGATCTGAAWGCTCGGAAAATAAAACATATACAAACGTAGACGAAGCAGTGTTTAGAATGTGGAAATTGTCCAAAAATTATAAATTTGACAACCATTAATATTATATTAATTTTATAAATGTTGACTATATGTAATTTTGTTCAACACTGAATTTTTTTAACTGTTACAAGTACTATTAGTCTAGAAGAGTATTGTATAAGATATGTAGAAAAAAACTAAATGAAAGTAACTGTTGTTCTATTCCTAAGTTCATTGCTATATCGATGCTATATCATAATTCAAAAAATTGAGTGTGCAYTGAAATTCATTCATTCAAGGTGAAAACAATGTTGTTATTTTGTGCAATTTTTCTCACCCTATACCCCCCATTGATATGTACAAAAMAAAWTACAAAATTCATAAAAAGAAACAGGAACACAGTAGTTATAAAGWGGTTTCACTGATATCCATGTTTTTCCTTGATAATCCACACCTTGTCGACGACTGCAGCCTGATTAAAATAAACAAAGAAGAAATTTTATGTGAAGACTTGAAGAGAAGACTGTGTGAAGACTCAGTAGATGTCTGAACTATATGTCTGTATACATTGTGGTGAAGTTTCTTACCTTGTCTGTGCTGAACTGTTCAATGTAGATGTGACTACCATTGAAAGCCTGCATGCGGGTATAGCCATAGTCAACTGTTCTGTAGGCAGTCCATGGGCCATAGAAAGGCTTAAAGTAATTATGCTGTTCAAAACATCCCTATACAATATACAAATGACAGCATTATAAGATGAACTAGACGCTCAGAGAGCGCTTACATGGGCTTCCTGAAGCAATTTCCAATTGAGATGCATTTTCATGGAAAAAATTAAATCTGGAGCCTATCTCTTTTCATCAATATTTGATTTATTACTTTTCCATACAACCATTAATGAAGGTTTCTTTTCTAGCTTTTCTAGCTTTTCTAGGTTATTTTTTATTTGAGTATTAAAAATCTGTGTTTCAGGAACAGTTCAGATTTAGAGAAGTTACATTGCAAGTCACTTCTTTCAATTGCAATGTAAATGTATTTGTTGTCCTATAAATATTGCAGGTTGTAATGATCAAATAAAAAATAAAGGGATTTGCAAAACAACTCTCAACAATGTTTTGTGATTCTGCTATATTGTTTTTATCAGCTGTTTGATTGTTCACTATAGCTATAAGAGCAGTAGCAATTTTTATGCCTTAATTCAATGTTTCTGTAAATCCATTTAAACTTTTAAAAGGACTGCACCAAATTGTTTTTAGACAATACATGAAATAGCACAAATTCCCTTGTGGATGACTTTTTCTATATTTCTCTAGCATGAGAGTCAAATACCTTATATGAGCAGTTTAAATACAGTGAATAATATCAACCCCAATGCAATCAACAAAGATAAATGATCTTTATTTATTGTGATATAAATATCACAAAAGCTCTCAAAAGTCCCATACAAAATTTATATCCATCTATACTACTAATAATTTTTACCATGTATAAAGTACCAGTGTAGCTTAGACAATAGTCTAGTTGATAATTTTGATCTAGTACTGTAAGCATTGTAGGCAATTCTGTTAACATTAAGAACAAATGTTGTGCTTATTGTGATAAATTGTTGTAGAGCTCATTTCCAATGTGCAGGATTTGTTTTAAATCATTAGACTTGTGTATTCCTTTCATTTCTTTCACATAGTGAATGCACATAGACTTTTTGCAACACATTTTGACCAGCATAAAATATCCCTAAATATATATCATGTTTCTTTGTCTGT